AGGCAAACATTAGTAAAAACATAAACTGAATTTCTGACACATGCTAACGCTAAAGACCATAATGATTTTTTCCTTCAATTTCCATCTACTTTTAACTATGAACAACTATTAGTTTCAAGCCATAATTGGCTCATGTAGAAGTCTAAACCACGCGGAGATATTGATCAAATTATTCTGAAGGAAGGACCAGATGGGGGAAAGATAACTTTTTAGGAAATGAGGAATCAAAAGAGAAGCAAAAAAATCAGCAGCTCTAAAATGGAAAAAAAATTAAAGCTGTGTGTGTGTGTGTGTGTGTGTTAGTCACTCAGTCGAGTCTGACTCTCTTTGCGACCCCATGGATTGTAGCCCACCATGCTTATCTGTCCATGGGATTCTCTAGGCAACGATACTGGAGCGGGATGCCATTGCCTTCTTCTCTATTAAACGACAGGTAAATTTATTGACAAGTGGAAAACATGTTATCCCTAGAAAGATGAAAAGCAAAAGCTCTGGTTTCACAGATTTGTATTGTGAGAACCAAGTATTTAAATGTTCACTAGGATTTTACCACACCCCTCCCTGGCAATAATAGTACCATTCAAATCACGTAAGTATAAGTAACTGTGATATTTTAAAGGGTGGGAAAAAAAATGATTAAAAAAAAAAAGTAGTGGACAGTTGCAGGTATTTTGAAAGTTAAGCTAGCATTTATCTTAATTGCAATTGTGAATATAAATATCCCATCTGCAAATTTACAAATTTTTAAATAAAAATCTATTAGTTGTGAATGTCAACAAACTATCAAATTAATATTTTTCCCCTTATCAACTTAAGTTGGTATTAAGAATAAAGTCTTAGGAGTCATATCTTGTCTTATTAAAGCTGTTGGGGACATTTGCTCATACAGAACAACATTTACCATATATAATTATTGAGCAAATTTGTCTATTAGAGTTGCCAGGAATGATATAAAGTCAAATATCAAAATAGTGGATTTTGATTAAAATGATTTAAAAAAACATTTATTTGGTATTGATTTTGTCTTTGTTAACACAAAGAATGATATGAAGTACATTCTCAGGGTTAGTGTCCTAATTTTATCTCCATTATTACTTTACGACTTTAAGATAAAATCGTAAAACCTATACAATTAATGTTAAAATTAAGACTTTAAGTCATAGATCACATTAATCATGGAAAAACAAGCAAGAAAATAGGTATTAAATGTTAGGAGTTAAGAATCTCTAGCGATAATGAATCCACCTACAATTCAGGAGACCTGGGTTCAATCCCTGGGTTGTGAAATTCCCTGGAAAAGGGAAAGGCTACCCACTCCAGTATTCTGGCCTGGAGAATTCCATGGACTGTAGTCCAGGGGGTCGCAAAGAGTCGGACACGACTGAGTGACTTTCACTTTCACTTTTCAGGGATAATGGAAACATTTTCAGCTGATTTTAGAAAAAGAAATAATGCCATAAGTGCTTCTTATTTAATGACATAAGCAAGACTGCTTTAAAAACCTCTTTTTTCACTTCTTATTTTCAACAGATAGACTATAAGCAAACAAAAAAACACTAAAAGTAATAATGATATAAAAACTTTAAAAAAAAAGCCCTGCTTCCTCCACTTCATGTGAAAAACAGTAGCAATGTAAAAGCCTCTTTATAAGAGGGAAAGTAAAAATATTTTCCTAAATCTAGTGGACTTTTACACTGAAAGTAGAGAGAAATAGAAGACAACATTTATATCAAATATTAAACCTCCTAGAACAAATTTACTGCTTCCTGATTCAAAACTAAGAAGAGAAACAAGGGGAGCATACAAAGGATATACAAATGAACAATCTAAGTAAACTGCACTGTCTTCAGAAAAAATTACCACACACAGCTCCAGTAAAAATAAAATACAAGTCAAAGCCACAGTTGAAACTATGGATAAATATGCAAAATATATACTGCCTTCAAGGAAATAGTATGTTTTCTACTGACTACTTTTATTTATTTATTTATTTTTACTGACTACTTTTTAAAGCTGGCAGTTGTAAGTTTAGATAGAAAACAAACGTCCAAAATGCAATTTTCAAATGAAACAAAAGACATGTAACAAGCACCATTGAAGCTGAATATTTAAAACATGACCAGTCCATGTGCAAAATAATTTGATCTCCATTTTGACAATTAAAACCAATTTATTTATAGAGTAAGGACAAACACAGAAAGGAAATTCTGAATAATAAGTATATCAGAATATAAAACATTCAACTCAGAATATTTAATAAGCAATACCTGTTAGGTACATCAGCTTGTCAATAATGACTGTTAAAAAGTAGAACATTCTTAATAAATAGCTTTAGCATAAAATAGCAGTTCTCATAGATAAGGCAATATTCTGAAAGGTGAACATTATACTGATTTAATACAGGCTAAATCTAAATCTGCCATTTTACAGAAAAAGAAAACTTCCCAGACGTTTCGCCTGCAATCAAATTCACTTAGCTCCTGATGACATTTTAAAAATGCTTAAAAATGTGCACAAATTAATGCCATTTTCCTTTGTCACAATTTTTCAATCTGCCTCAATAAATTCATCTTATCAAATGTACCTTTCAACGCTGACAATATCTAACACATAGCAGTGTTCATAAGAATAACACAGCCATGTTTTAACATCTTATTAAATTTTAGTAGCAGTGACAAGCCGCTCTACCTTACTTTGATAAGTCTTACTTTCTGTTATGAGACAGAACATTATCTTTGGCTGATCTAATTCTTAAGCTCAGTATATATTTGACTTCATTTTCCGTTTTCATTTAGCAAAGTTAGAAGAGTGAAGCCTTCCATACTTTAATAAAATGAATATAATAAATTGTAGCTGGGAAAATTCTATTATAAAGATAACTATGCAGTCTCCAGCCCTTGTACAGGATATACGTTTCACATTGTTTTAATAATCACTTTTTTTAAAAAAAGCAAATACTTTAGCTTCAATGCCCATGTTGAAAAAGGATTGGTTTTTTTGTTTTAATGTATTCTTTCGGAAGCGTTACAATGTATATACAATGCTAATTCCCACAAATATAACTATACATAACTACACTTTCTCATAAAGTTCAAGTTGATAAACTTTCTTAAAGTTCAAGTTGATAAACTTTCAGTTTGCATCAATTTGAGACAAAACCCATGATTTTCCTGACTGCTTGAGGTAATAATTTTCACCTTTACTTGTTCAATCTGCGTTTGCTACACATGTATATAATACATGGTGTACTATAGACATATACTTGTTAAATTTTTATACATTTCAATTTATATCTATTGAAGTTTACCACAAGTGTGCAGTCACATGGATTTTTCAGAATTACTCTGCCATTAGTTAGAATATGCTTCTCATACAAAATGCAAGTTTCAATATAATACTATAATTAGATGTCAATAATGAAATATTTAACGTCAAATAAAAGCACAATAAATCAAAAAACTATACCTTGCCTGTAATTAAAAAAAAAAATGCTGAGCTATGAAAGAGTTTTAAGGGGGAGAGGTGGCTATTGTAAATTTTTACATTCAAGCAATTAATCCTCCAAAGGTAGGCTTCTACACCCTAAAAAAGAGAAAATAAGAGTTTTCTCTAATAATTATCTCTTAAAACATAATTGAAGTCTTCCTAAAAATGTTTGCAGGACAAAAGCCAGTTGAAAATGATGAAATAAAAGCCACTATGCAAATCATAGTGATTAACAAGAAAGGTTAAGAGAGCTAGGTTCAAATGCTTGGTCACACCAGTTATAGAAACTTGTGACCTTTGGCAAGTTTCTTAATCCCTTCCACCCTCAACTTATTGGGTGTTATTAGTGATCTTGCAAAAACTACTATATTCCTTACTTCAAAACCACCTTTCCTTGCTTAGGAGTGTAATTACTAGTAATGCTGCTCACTTTGGATGCAAAGCACTCCAGAGAATTACGAGAAATAATCAAGAGGGTGGGGGAATAGAAGCCAAATTTTACGGTTGGCAAGAACCTAGACTCAGCAAAAACTGTGTGTGCTGCAGAATTCGTCAGCGGGTCGTCATATTACCTTTTAAATATCCTAAAGATCTCCAGCCTAGTTGAGGGGGCTTAGAAGAGTATTTCCTGATGTATGGTTTTAAGACAATTACTTTAGGCAAAAGAAAAATCTACCACCCAAGGCAATACTAAAGATGATGAGTTGTTAATTACATATTGAATGACTCATTACAGCTTTACAGCTTTAAATTTCAGATAGAAACTAACTTCCCAAGATAATCGACTTTGAACAAAATTTTCATCTTCCATTCGGAACTGGATGGCGTTCCTTTTCCCACCAAGCGCTCAATATTTAAAACTTTATTTTCACTTAATTATTTAAAAAATCGAATGAGAGAAATGATTAACCCTGAATTAATGAAAAAGGAGTTAACTTTAAAAGCTGTCAAGCAAACTTGCCTAAAGTTACACAGCTGGTAAGCTACAGAAGCAATTGGGATTCGAACTCCTATCTCTCGAGCGCCGAAGAGCAAGCTTTTCTCGCTACACTCAAGCTCGCGCTTACACTGGGCTCCTCTCAACTGTCTGGCAGAGACAACATTTATTATGAAGCTCTGTTTTTTTTTCCTTCCCTTCTCTGTGGCCAACCCTTCCATTTCACACTGCCTCCTGTGCTGGACTACAAATTCCATACAACAACAATCAAGACGCACTAATGCTAAGAGTCGGAGTAGAGATCAGAAGAACCGAAATCAGTTTTACTTCCTACGCGGAACGGAGATCTGGCGCCAGCACCACAAGCGACAACACAGGCAGGGGTCCAGAGAGGCTGCAGACCGCGCCCAGGTCTCAAGTTTTAGTCAAGGCCCACGTTCCGGCCAGGCGAGAGGCGCAGAGAAGGTTATCCTTTCCTGACACCCTCGCCGCCGCGGGAGCACAAAAGAGAAGATTGCAATCGCAGTAATAGTACACACAGTAAACTCAACACCGTTCTTCAGCCCGTTAAACGCACTTACTTGAGCGAAGTAATTCCAAGACACAAGGCCGGCACCGGCAACGGGTAGGGCTCTGTCCTCCTGCCCCAGGCGCTGGCGATGACGACATCCGAGTCGCGCCGCCGAGAGCGAAGGCCCGGCGCACGCCGCGCGCGCTCCCGGTAGGGGCGGGGCGGCCAAGTGGCGCCACCGTTAAGCGTCACGGGCGGGGCTCTGCTGCGGAGCCCCGGGCTTTGAACATGTCGCGGCTGAAGGGGATAGCGGGGCGGGATACCCGAGCGGGTTTCCGCACTGAGAGCAGAGACTGCAGTGCCTGCGTACCCCAGGGACTCTTAAAGGCGGCGAGGAAGAGCGGTCAGTTAAATCTGTCGGGCCGCAACCTCAGCGAAGGTAAGGTCCAGAGGTACGACCCGTTTGTGCGACTTGGCACAAAGGACTTGCCCCTGGTACCTCTCTTTTCTTCCTCTGGCCTGGCTTTGGCTACCTTTGGCTCCGTATCCTAGCCAGGATCCCGGTGCTGGAATTCGGACTTTTATCACATCACTGGTTCGGTCAGCTCGTTCGGTTTCTACTTTTCATTCCAGGAAATGTCTGGTGCAGGGAATGTGCTGGGAACATGGCCAAAATTTAAACGGGGCGCTTTCTGGGATTCCCACATTCTGTCGGATAAACAACATAATGTTTGACTAAATTAGCTGTCGCATGATGGGCACATGCTTTGTCTCTTTGGCCGTTTGTTCCTCTTAATTTAATCTCTTAGGTCATTTACCAACGCCAAAATTCCGTATTTGATCTGCTCCTTTGTGCATTTAGAGTAAATGACACTGTTCTCTGTTCAAGTCCCTCTTCTGCCTGCATGTGGACAGAATCCTAAATACAAGGAATATTTAGCATATTTCCTAAATTGAAGATCAAGATGGATGCCACACAAAGTGAATTTGGGGCCATCCTGAAAATCTAGTAACGTTCGAATACACAAATCTGGATACCATGAGTGAATTATAGTCAGATGGCTCTTCTGATTTTCTGTTGTGTAAGGGAGGGCGTGGAAAGTGGGGAGAGAGAGATTATCGCATTATTCTTGTAATGTTTTCCTTTACTTATATTTAGGTTTTAGGCCATCTGGAATAAAAAGATTCCATTTCCTTGTAATGATTGCTTTGTTAAAATTGTGCCATGGATAGAGTTGACCATGCAAATACTTGCTGAATGAAAGGAAATATGATAAAATCTCTGCTCTACCTAGAAAAAGTTTTAATCAGTGGGAACATAAATATTTTAAAGTTACGGTTGTGCTTGTACACATGCTTATTCCAGAGCCTGGAACTTTCTACATGATACCTGACTAGGGCTCACTTCTTGACTTCCTCTAGGAGTCTGCTTATATAGGTCCTTCCTCACTACCCTATCTATAATAAATTCTCTTGCTAACATTGTATTCTCTAACCTGTTTTTAATAGCATTTATTATTATCAGAATCTGTATTCTGTATTTATTTTTTTATTGTCTTCTCTGCCCTCTGCTAGAATATTGGTTGCATGTGGTCAGGGACTTTTCATTTTGCTCATTGTGTCCTTAGCACTGAAAGTCGTGCTTGGTACATAGTTGATTCTTATTAAACATTTGTGGAAGGAATAAGTAGATGAATGAATTATTCCCAAAAACTAAGTGTGTGCTGGAATGTACTTATTGATTGGACCCAGATGGTTTAGTCTACTAAAGTTTCAGGGAGCAAAGGAATTTTGATTGCCAAATGTTAAAGCAGCCTTGCATTCCTGATATAACTCCTGCTTGGTCATGATGTTTAGATGTAGTAGTTTTTGTTTTTTGGAGTAACCCCCTGTTTTTAATGTCTCTGATTTTGGTATCAGAATAATGCTGACTTCATAAAATGAGCTGGGAGTTTTTATTTCCTTTATTTTCTGAAAGGCTCTGTAGAATTAGTATTATTTCTACTCTAAATGTCTGCTAGATTTCACCAGTGAAGCCATCTGGGCCTGGAATTTTCTTTGTGGGATTGTTTTAAATGGCAAATTCAATTTCTTTCATGGATGTAATGTGCAACAACACATTTGCTGTAGCGCTGAAGCGAGTTAATAGCTTCTGGAGCTACAGTTTAATAGTGGTGAGCCTGAACTCTTTCTGTTTAACTTGTACAGACTTATTTGCTGCGTCAAAGGAATTGCTGCATTTGCTGCAGCAAGAGTAACAATGTTGTGTTGTGTACCAGATAAAATAGAGAGCAGTCACCAGAGTCAGATATACCTTACAAATATTCACTGAGAAGCAAGATAGTTTAGCTTTTCCAGGGTTTAATCTTGTCTATCTGTATAACTTGGGGCAAATGTTACATTCTGTCTGTGTCCCATTTCTCTCATGTATAAAGTGAGAATAGTCATAACACCTGTCTCATGGAGTTGTTACGAGATAGAGGAGTTTGTTCATTTGATTTCCATATCTTCTCTGTTATGGTAGCATAAAGATACAGCCCATTCTTTATTTGTGTTATATATCCAACCACTATGTGCTATGCAGGAAATGTATATAGTAAATACAGTTGAATGAAGATAAAAGTGAGATCTAATATGAAAAATACATATCCCCTATTCTGTTTTGGAATAAAATCAAACTTTCATTTTAATGTTGTTGTAATTCATTGCTATTTGTTTGATTTACTTGAAAGTTTTTAATCTTTCAGAAATTTCAGTAGATAACTTGAATAGCTGTTATCAGCTTATGTCCTTAGTATCTGATTTCTTTTTTTCTTTCCTTTTTTTGGTGTGGTATGGTGGATATAGTGCCTCAGTGTGTTTGGAGAATAAATGTGGATATCCCTGAGGAAGCTAATCAGAATCTTTCATTCAATGCCTCTGAGCGATGGTGGGAGCAGACGGATTTGACCAAACTAATCATATCAAATAATAAACTTCAGTCACTTACTGATGACCTCCGACTCCTTCCTGCACTGACTGTTCTTGATGTAAGTTGATTTATGAGTCTTTTGTTTGAAAAGACTCTGAAACTAAGTTTAGACTTTGAGAAGCAGAAAACCCAATTGGTAGAGTGCAAGAAGAATAACAAAATTACTGTGTTAGACAAAGCATCATGGTTAAGAATGCAGAATCAGAACCTCAGGCTTCCAGTTCCAAATCTGCTGCTTGCTAGCTGTGTGATCTCGGGACAGCTGCCTCTCTGTGCTTCAGTTTCCATATCTATAAATCGAGACTGTTAGTACTGCCTATCTTTGAATTAAATGTGTTAACGCATACAAACAGAATTAGAATTAATGTTTAGTGGCTTCTGCTGCTTGTCCTTTTTTTATTGCTATTTTTTTATGATCATCATTATTCTAGACATTAAAGCAAGTACTCAAGGTTATTATTATTATTTTGTCACTTATCTCCAATACTGACTTAAATTATTGGGCTTAAGTTTTTGTGGATTTAGTCCGGGACTTTTTTTTTAGTCTCTAGTTGCTATGTCATGTGGTAAAGTGAAACATGAGTAGTTTATTTCACAATCCACAGACTGCTGTATCACAATCCACTGTTTTACTTAGGATCACCAAAAATCTTCCAGTTTTTGCCTGAAAAAGTTGGATGTAGTCAGATTTCTAGAGAAGTGTTTATTTTGTTCATTTGTAAAATGAATCAGTTGGTGTAGATGTTCTCTTGAAGGTTCCTTGTACCTTGAAAACAATATGATTCTGTAAAAACATGAGAGAAGAAGTCTTCCGCCTCATTTATTTTTTGTAAATGTTGGCATAATCATACCAACAGAGGGCTATACATTCTAACCCTCTTGTCTCTCATTTGAGATTGAAATTTCACTCAGTGAGGTGAAGTTTCCTTTTTTTAACTATAGTATTTAAAATTAAGGTCTTACTACTTCATGATCTCTGAACAGCAATGTGGTCAATTTCAAACTCCTTTTTCTCTTCTATACTCAGAACAAATTACCAATAGTCCAGCAGTAGAATAATTAGAGTATTGTCAGCGAATATTTTGCAGCAACAAAGTTTATGGTTATTTATAAGAGTAAGATATTGACTGTGTCTTTTAATAACTTTCAGATACATGATAATCAGCTGACATCCCTTCCTTCTGCTATAAGAGAGTTAGAAAATCTTCAGAAACTTAATGTCAGGTAAAATTTAAACTTATTTCAGTATTGCTTGTATAAAGGTATAAATCTAATATTCTTTAAAAAAATTTTTCTAACATTTTTTCTAACATGTAAAAATATTTTTATATTATCTCAGAAAGTGATTAAACAGGATAAGAATTTTAAGCTTTAATTCTCCGATTATTTTTTGTTTTAGAATGGCCTACATGTTTTCTGGTTTTACAAATTTAATACCAATTAAAAAAATACTCTCTATATTTTTTGTGAAATAATTTTTAGTGGTTATTTTCAAAATCTTTGTTGACATCTCAAGTTTTATATCACTTTGATAGTCTAAGATACATGTGTGTTAAACAGTAGGAAGAAATTTAAAACAGTTTTTTTCATCAGTGAGGAAAGTTTCACATTTTTTGATATTAGTAGTTTTTAAACCTCTCTGAGGACTCCTGAGACTCCATGGGTATGCCTCTGGTACGCTTTGATAGGTACACGGGAGGCCAGCCAGCTGAGACTCCAGCTACCTCTGTTTGCCCTTCAGTATGCATTCAGACTTTCAAGAAAAATTACTGCCTTATATGTTATATATACACTGTGGAAAAGGGATTAGGGATGATTTAATTTAGGAGAAAAATTAAAAGGGTTTAAGTGTTAAACATTGTTTGAGAAGCTGTGGCTTATAAAACAGGTATGGTTATTGATCTGTCTAGCATAGCATGATCAAGTCTCAGTTTTCTGAAGTTAACTAGTTTGAGGGAGAACAGTTTTCAAATAACAGTCTTTATTTGATGAAAAACTTAAAATTACCATAAATTAACAAAAATATCTGTACCCAAAATTGTTTAGGACAGTTAGTGAAGATACTCATGGTTTAGTCGTGCAGCAGAACCTCTTCCCATTGCAAGCCAAAGGCATAGATATGCTCTGCAAAGAGAAGAGTGGGCAGGGTTGAGAGGAGAAGAGAGAGTATGTAGCAGGTGTGGGTGGCTTTAGCTTTAGCTTCTAGCACTTAAGGATATGAATGTTAGGATGGAGGGAATATAATAAGAGGAAAAGAAGGAAATATATAGCAAAAATTACATTTTTGCCCAACTAGATTCCTGTCAGATATGCAAAGATTACAATTAAGTAACGGACAGTGTCAACCAATTTCTAGTAATTTTTGGTGGTTCATATTTTAGAAAACATTTTTTGGCATTTTTATTCCAGCTAGTTTTATTATAATTTAAGGTCATTATTATATGCTTATATTTCCCATTTCTTGCCAGTTATTTGTGAAGAAACTGTATATGGTTAGACAGTAGAGTAGAATTCCCAAGCAAGTAGTTGGCATGAATCTAAGAACAAGTTAAATCAATCTCTTAATTATCAGGGAATGTATTATTCTAAGTGACTTGGGACTTCTACACCAATAAACTGGAATCTCTGCAGGCCTGAACTGAAAATAATGATTCAGTACGGAGTTGCATATTACACATTCAACTGGATATGCTAGGCCCTCAAATAGAAATACCTATTTTTGTCTTGAGTGCTAGATTGAAGCCTAATCCCCATGTAAAATGTGACTTCATTGTAGTGTGTGTATGCGTCTTTGTCAAAATCTTAAAACTCTGATAGAGTGTGAAAATTTAGAGTCCAATGTATTCTTTCACCTTGCATGTAAAATGAAGTTGATTAAAAGGAACCAATCAAAATTTCACAAATTATATCTTTGCATCAAAATCTTTATTTCTTTGAAACACTCAATTTGATTACATTACTGTCATTTTAATGGGTGTATCCTTTTAGGATGTAAAGTTTGATAAGTACTTAAAATTAGTAACCTTACTTGACTTTTTTTTAATGAGCCCAGGTATTTGATTAGCAGAAACGCCTTGTTAAGTATTTATTTTGTTGTTACCAAATTATTCAGCATTTGTTTTATCAATCAATAGCCATAACAAGCTGAAAATACTCCCTGAAGAAATTACAAATCTAAGAAATCTGAAGGGCCTGTATCTCCAGCATAATGAACTCACTTGCATACCAGAGGGGTTTGAACAACTTTCCAACTTAGAAGATTTAGTAAGTTTTGATTTTGCAATATTTGTATAATTTGGGGCTGGAGGGAATTTTCATTTGGCTGAGAAATTGGATATATGATAGCAATCATGAGTACATGGGCACCTGTTTTAATAATGACTAGGTTATCAGAACTGTGTATTACAATTAGATTGCTAAATTAATCATTGCAAATTTCTTTTCCTATGTTTTTCTTCTTTTTTCCTATGTTTTTCTTACGATAGAAATTACCTTAGATTTTAATTTCAGAACAGAGTTTTAGAAGGGGCCTGATGATGATGACTTTGCTATTCAGAGGCTTTTATGACTTAGCAAAATAGAGGAAAGGTGTTTTTAGCATATACTTACTCCCTTTTTTTAAAAGTATTTTTGGCTGCATGGGGTCTTGTTGCTGCATGCAGGCTTTCTCTAGTTGCAGTGCGTGAGGGCTACTCTAGCTGCGGTGCCTGGGCTTCTCATCGAGGTGGCTTCTCTTAGTAGATTCCCATTACCTCCTCTTAAACTCTTATGGTCCTTCTGTTCCCTAAGTATCCAGATAATTCAGGGCCTGCCCTTTCTTCCTTGTTTTCCAAAGTGGCCACATTTCTTGGTGAAATTTTCATTCCATCTATTTCACATCTTAAATAGAGATAACCATGAAGCAGTACAAATGTTATTTTAGTCATATTATTAAGAATAATATAGACAACAGGCACTTTGCTTTACATATAGCTAAGTAGTTTCATCCTGTTACAGATTTTAAAAAAGCAACATCCAAAGTCATACAACTAATTAAGGAATTCAGGATTTTAACATCAGACAATTTGATTTAGAAGTGTATACATCCTTCCCTCCCAAATTTACCACAGGAGGAGTAAGACTCTACTATAAGCTATCCTATCTGAAAGACTAGCTATATTAGATCAGATGTTCCAATATAAATCTCAACTCCATGTAGTTATTTCATAGTACATTCTTGTTCTGTTCACTATTACATGTTTTGAAAAACTCACTAGTGTCATTTTAGCCTTGAAGTTTATTTTCTATTGAAGGACAAATTACTTTTACTTATTTTTTTTTGATATTTTCCCCCATCGGCTCTAGTGGTTGAAATCAAAATATATACTCTCCTCAACCATTTCTTTAGTATCTCTTTGTTTTTCAATCTGATAAGACTGGAAATAAATTTTGGAAAGTAAAAGGTAGATGAAATGAATGGGAAGGAAGGGAGCCATCAGATTTTCTTATAAAATTTAGTGGTAAAAGATAGTAATTGATTAAAAAAAGAATCTAGTAGAAGGCTTAATGGAAACCTTATAAACTTTTGTTCTGGGTTTCCAGATATTCATTTTCTTAATAAAAGAATGTTTCAGTTGAGAATTGTGTTCTTAAGGATTAATTATCAAATAAATCATAAATGTGAACAACAATAAATTAAAGCATTGAAAGTGTAAGATAGGTAATAATTTAAGCTAACAATGTTTCTTTTTTTTTTAATATAGAAACTTATTCTGTTTAATCTACAAGCTTTATATAGCTATAGTTTAAAACAAAAACAGTGAAAATAAGACACTGTTTCAGATTCTGGGCCCTTCCAATTTTCCAAATACAAGAGCTCTGACAGTTGTATATACCAGCTGAAACAAGACAGAATTATGAATGGAGTCATGACATTTCATGAAACAAAATTTTACATAACTGAAGGATCCTTCCTGGGAGTAGTTAATTACCTTTACAAAAAAAAGAAAAAATAAAGAAAGAAAAGAATGGAATTCCAGTGTTCTAAATCAACTTGTGTCACATCGCTATAAACCCACAGTGTCCTGACAAACAACATGCTTTCATTTTCTGTCTCATCCTAGAACCCGAATCCTAATTCATTTCAGCAGAGACTCCACAGGCAACAGGAAAGATTGTGGCATTAAAATATTCATTTATTCTTTTGTGGTAGCTCAGCGGTGGTCTTATTTCTGGGCAAGAATTTAAGGTAGTAATATTTCTTAAAGTTGCATAAAACTGCTTAGCACAGTGCTAAATGAATATTTATTGAAGAGATGGTGTCACATAAATAATGATTAATTCATATGCACTGTACTTATTTTGTATTCAATTTAATCATTAACTGCAATAGTTTAATATTTAACTATTAGTAATTCTGTTACTTTAGGTTCTTTAAAATTTCTTAAGAATTTGTGAATTACTCTTCTTTATCAGAAACTCTTTATTTTTAGCTTTTGATGTTGGAATAATTTTAGATTTATAGAGAAGTTGGAAAGATAGTACAGAGAGTGTCTGTATACCCTTCACCCATCTTAGTGGGTGAACATTTTACATAGCTGTGGGATATTTGTAAAAACTAAGAAATTGACTTTGGTACAATACTGCTAACTAAACTATAGATCTTATAATATTTTCCCAGTGTTTTCACTAATGTCCTTTTCTTTTTGTTCCAGGATCCAATCCAGAATACTACATTGCATTTAGTGTCAGTAAATTCTGATATCACAAAGTATTTATTAGTAATCTGTTGATTCTTAGACCTTAGAGTATTTGATTTGTAGAGTATTATATTGTATGTTGTAGATTATGTGTTGTTACTGTAATAATAACAGTATGTTTTAAAAATATGCTGATGTATAATAGCATAGCATTTTTCCTTTTCTGGATTTATTTAGAGTTACAGTTATTTAATGTTAGACTAAATCATAGTCTTCAGAGAACTGTTCCTTTAAGTCATTTTTTTCTTATTCAGTGTTGTCATTGGCACTACCTGATAGTTTAGTGATAGCTGGTGAAATAACTTAAATTTAATTTGAATGTCTTAAGAATACCTGATACATAGCATTGTCTTTTAAAGGGAGTTGCAAAACAAATTCTCATAAGTATTTAGAGAAAAAGCAAAGACTTATAATGCAAAAGTAAGGTATAGGGATTAATTAGGCAGAGTGAAAGAGTGAAAATTAAACAGTAGACTTTTGTACTTAGTTAAAGCAGACTTATACTGTGGTCAGCAGAAGAACCGAGGGAATATTTTTTCCTCCCAAATTAAAATGGCCTTGTTTCTCAGCCTTACATTTTTTCTTTCAAGCATTTTTCTATTTTGCAAAGATGTTTTTCTTTTTATATTATGGTTTAACTATACATTTTGCCTGATGTATCATAGATACTCAACAAATAATGGATGAATAAATGGATTTTTTAAAAACACGATGAAAGATACAGCATGACTTAGTACTAACAGAAACCTTTCTGTAAAATATTTTTGAAATCAATTCATTTTAATTTCTCTCTGCTACATTATTAGACATGTAGTAGGTCCGCAGAAAATATTGAGGTAATGGATGATGATCTGTGAAATTGTCAGTGAATGAGACTTACAAAGTGTATCTACTCTAAATAGTTTTTTTAAATGTTGCAATGCCCGTATAATTCTGAACACCCCCCTTAGGGATCCTTCATTTATTTTTTTGTTTACTTGTTCATTTATTCATTTTGTCTTTCTCTTTTTAAAGGATCTTTCAAATAATCGTCTTACAACTGTTCCTGCTAGTTTTTCTTTTCTGTCCAGCCTGGTGCGTCTCAATCTTTCCAGTAATCAACTGAAGAGTTTGCCAACACAGCTAAGTGGAATGAAAAGTAAATCTTCTCTGTTTTAAAAATTGAATAAATTTGAAGTTTGTGTAACTTATATTTAGAAAAATAAATTTTTATGTAGTTACAGAGAAGTAGAACTATAGATTTTATCGTGGTAAATGCAAACAATAACAACTAGTCAGATTTTCCCCAGGGGATTATTATCTAGCAACTTCATTAAAATTTACCACCAAAACAGTTCAGTTCAGTCGCTCAGTCATGTCTGACTCTTTGTGACCCCACGGACTGCAGCATGCCAGACTTCCCTGTTCATCACCGACTCCTGAAGCTTGCTCAAACTCACATCCATTGAGTCGGCGATGCCATCCAACCATCCCATCCCATCCTATACTATCCATACTACCAAAATAGTAGTTTGACACATCAAAAAGATAAAAAGAAAATAAGATTATAAACTGGGGGGAAATTATATACCTGAGAAATTGATTAAGGTTTTGAGCATGCTGTCTCTTCTTTAACATATTCCACATTTAATGAGAGGTCATGCCTCTCTCCTAGGTGATTCCACCTATGATAGGTTATGTTAACTCTGTATCCTTCTTGAGGTCAGTAAGTAATAACATCAGAGATAGTCTAGTTTTGCCCAAATTGTCAATCCTTTTGAAAAGCAAGTTAAATTTAGTGTTTCTATTTTATTAAAGTTTACCATCAAAGTTTACCATTTGAAAGTTTACCATTTGAAGTATTGTGGAACTAATATGAAGGATGAAGAAAATAGAAAGTACATTTCAGTAATTTTAAATAAGTATACTTGTTCATGTTAGAATTCTTGAGTCCAAAATCAATCAACTCTTTTTTCACCTAAAAGCAAACTATTATTATTTCTTAGTTGATGATCACTGTGTGTCAACTGTAGACTGTTTACCTTATCTATTTCTTTTGCTAATCATATGTGGGCTCTTTCATTTTTTTTAAACCTCCTTTTTTGGAGGAAATCATAGATGTGATTTCGAACACTTGGTTACAGATTATTTAGAGGTGAGTTTGTAAAATTGTGCTGTTTGACATTTTTTTTTTCATTGATTTTTATTAGTTGGAGGCTAATTACAACATTGCAGTGGTTTTTGTCATACATTGACATTTTAAAAAAATACTGTATAATTGACTAGCAATGTTATTAGTTTCAGGTGTGCAAAAATAAAACAGTGATATTTTTATACATTACAAATGATCACTGCTGTTTTACTCTAGATTAATGGTTATTTGGGCTTCTGATTTGGTGCTAGTGGTAAAGAATCCGCCTGCCAGTGCAGAAGTTGCAAGAGATATGGGTTTAATCCCTGGGTCAGGAAGATCCCCTACAAACGCACGCTACTCTAGTATTCTTGCTGGAAAATTCCATGGACAGAGGAGCCTGGCGGCCTACAGTCAGTGTGGCTACAAAGAGTCAGACACAACTGAGTGACTGAGAACAGCACAATGGTTATTTGTTATTTATTACAGAAATGCATAAATTAAATGCCATAAATTGGATTGACATTTTAGGGGAGCCTTTACTTGTGATACCAATAGTTAACTCTGCTTGTTTTTGCCATTTTTCAATAAAAGTATTAGAAAATAGAGCTGAACATAAAATATGATACCTGGAATGAGTATGCAAGAAGCATGTGTTTTTTGTTTTTATTTTATTTTTTTAATTGAGTAGAAATATTGAGAGATAAGAATAGATATTGAAATCAATAGAAAAATGCTTTAAACTTATAGCAGGTTTTCTAATATATTATATAATTAGTCTCAGATATTTTCTGTGTTTTAGCCATTACAAAGATACTTTTAAGCTATTACCAGTAGGACACTTAGTTGTTTTTTTCACTATTCACAACTGAGATTCTATAGTTTCTAACATTTTTATGGTTTGTAACATTTGTAACATTTGTATGGTTCTTTGTAATTCAAAATGCTTTAAAATATATGGGAGAAGGCATGGTGGGATGTTTCGAGAGAACAGCATTGAAACATGTATGTTATCTAGGGTGAAACAGATCACCAGCCCAGGTTGGATGCATGAGACAAGTGCTCGGGCCTGGTGCACTGGGAAGATCCAGAGGGATCAGGTGGAGAGGGAGGTGGGAGGGGGGATCGGGATGGGGAATACATGTAAATCCGTGGCTAATTCATGTCAATGTATGACAAAAACCACTACGATATTGTAAAGTAATTAGCCTCCAACTAATAAAAATAAATGAAAAAAAAAATAAAAAAATAAAATACATTATTTTGCCATCATAATAGTTCTATAAATTAATGAGAATGCATATTATTTACTTTTAAAGATTCAGGAACCTAGGTTTAGAAATTATACAGCAAATTGTAAAGCCAGGGTTTTCATCTTCTTACTTCATCCCTCTTGCTTTTTCTGCTACATGCTGTTTGTATTCTCAACCAGTGCTCTTAAATGCAAAGACTTGTGAAAACTAGTTTCTAGATGTAAAACAAACTTCTTTATAGAATTTACTAGATTTAGGGTGGATCAGATTATGACATTTTCCTCAGTGCTCTAGCCAAATAGTACGTAAATTATCATATTATAAATGGAAAGTACTATTAAATTTGTTTTGAAAAGCTGTTCGTTTCTGTAAACACTGAAAGTAGTCTAAATATATCAATTCAGTCTTGAATTACATTAAAATTGACAAGCTCAAAGTACATGAAAAATAGTTGTAAAATATATATTGCCTATTCAAACTATAGGGTTGAGAATAGTGGAAAATATAAGTGGAAAAGGGCTTCCCTGGTGGCTCAGTGGTAGAGCATCCACCTAATAGTGCAGAAGGTGTGGGTTCGATCCGTGGGTTGGGAAGATCCCCCTGGAGAAGGAAATGGCTACCACGCCAGTATTCTTGAGTGGTAAATCCCATGGACAGAGGAGGCTGGTGGGCTACAGTCAGTCCATGGGGTCATAGAAGAGTCAGACACAACTTAGTGACTAAATCAACAACAGTAAGTGGAGAATCTGCAATATGGATTAGGGAGAAATTGCTTATTAAAGTCTTAAGAAAAAGAAGACCTTTACTTTTATTCTGTTTTTGTTTTCCATTCTGTCTTTTATGAGATATTCAGGAGGTAAGAGAGAGATGCTGCAAGTGAGAACATTCTTCTTATCAAGAGTGTGAGCTCAGGTGTTAGAAAAAGCATGTGACTTAAAAAAATTAGAAAAAAGGAAGGAAAGACAGGGAAAGAGTGGCTGAAAGAGTAGGAGAGAATACATCGAAATCCATGGGTTTTTTGACACAACAAATACGGATGTGTAAGCTACTACTGGTCAGAGTTACTTGACATTCATTCATATGAGTAGTATGCATGTATATTTATGTCTTTAATAATTTAAGCTTTTCTTTAAAGATGTATGACTAGAGGTAAATAATCTCATAGTTTATGTATTTTAGAGTACTTTAAGGGAATACTAGAGTATTTTGTTTTTTAAGTCTTTGCAAAGATGACCTGGACTGTTATTAAACATTGACTTTAGTATCATTGTTTTTCTTTAATTGTAACTAAATGTAAAAATGTTTTAGTTTTCATTTATGTAATTCAGTGGTATTCTAGGGTTCTTGATTATTGCAGCAGTGTAGAAAGTCACAGTTTTGTGAGTCCTCATGATGACATGAACATTCTTCGAACGTATATAGAATTGTAAACCAATATTTTTCTCTACTAAAGTATCTTTGTGTTTCACTGAATATGTATTACAGGATTAAAGCATTTGGATTGTAATTCAAATCTCTTGGAAACTATTCCTCCTGAATTGGCCAGCATGGAATCACTAGAATTGCTATATTTGCGAAGGAATAAATTACGTTTTCTACCAGAATTTCCTTCTTGTAAACTATTAAAGGTACTATTTAGTTGTTTATTAAATATACATTTTCTGAAAGTTAATCATGAAAATGAAAATTTAAACTTATTTTACATTGAGTTATGTGTTTACATATTAGTTATGTGTTTTTTTCTTATTTTATTTTTCAGAATTTTATTATGATTGAATATATTAATGGTATTGTTAATAACAGATTTTTTTTAAAAAAAAGAAATAATCGGTTTTAAAAATAAGAAATTGCCCATTTCATCTGGAAGGTAGTTTATAACTCGAGAAGTAGTATTAGGTTGGTGCAAAAGTAATTGTGGTTTTGCATTGTTGAACTTTGCCAATTGGTATTGGAATACATTCTTAAATAAATGGTTAATGGTACATATTTTAATGTACATTTCTTTATATTTTTGCTAATGACATTGCTTGCTGTTTATTTTATAATTATTTTAGACTATAGAAATGATGTTAGACAAAGAGCAAATTCAAGCAATTTTTTTGAGTTTAGAATGGGTTGGAAAGCAGCAGAAACAACTCGCCACATCAATATCAACAATGCATTTGGCCCTGGAACAGCTACCAAACGTACAGTGCAGTGGTGGTTCAAGTTTTGCAAAAGAGATGAGAGCCTTGAAGATGTGGAGCATAGTGGCCAGCTATCAGTAGGTGACAGTAACCAATTGAGAGTATCATTAAAGCTGATCCTCTTAAAACTACATGAGAAGTTGCTGAACAACTCATTGTTGACCATTCTACGGTTGTTTGGCATTTGAAGCAAATTGGAAAGGTGAAAAAGTTCAGTAAATGGGTGCCTTATGAGCTGACTGAAAATCAAAAAAATCATCTTTTTGGAGTATCTTCTTTTATTCTATGCATCAGTGAATCATTTCTTAATCAGATTGTGACTTTTGACAAAAGTGGATTTTACACGACAACCAGCTCAGGGTCGGACCGAGAAGAAACTCCAAAGCACTTCCAAATCCAAACCTGGACCAGAAAAGGTCATGGTCACTCGGTGGTCTGTTGCCTGTCTGATCCACAACAGTTTTCTGAATCCCGGCAAAACCATTACATCTGAGAAGTATGCTCAGCAAAATGATGAGATGCACTGAAAACTGCAGTGCCTGCAGTTGGCATTGGTCACCAGAAACGGCCCAATTCTCCATGACAGCACCTGAATGCATGTCATACAACCAACACTTCAAAAGTTGAATGAATTGGGCTATGAAGTTTTGCCTTATTTGCCATATTGACCTGACCTCTTGCCAACCCAACTACCATTTCTTCAAGCATCTCAAAAACTTTTTGCAGGGAAAACGCTTCCATAACCAGCAGGATGCAGAAAATGCTTTCAAAGAGTTCATCGAATCCTGAAGCAGAGATTTTTTATGCTATAGAAATAAACTTATTTTTTCATTGGCAAAAATGTGTTGATTGTAATGGTCATGTTTTGGTTAATAAAGGTGTTTGAGCCTGGTTATGAGTTGGACACAACTAAGCGACTGAACAACAGCAAAATAATGATTTAAAATTCACAATCCAAAACCTCAGTTACTTTTGTACCACCTTACTAGATGATGAAGCTAACAAAGTAAGTTGGGACCATAGTGTAGGAAGCCTAGAATACCAGGAAGAAATATGCGTCTAATTAAGTTGCCAATCCATATTTACCTCATCACAAGATCTGTTTAAAATTATTTACTTTTTTTTCGGTGTTAAATATATAGCATTAACATTGTATTTAAATTTGCCATGCTTTGCTTTCCCTTATGTATACTTTTATGCATTGAGTTTCTTTAAATAAAATGGGTGTACTGATTTGTTTTAAAACTTTAATTTTTTATAGTATAGCTCTTGGATTTGTATTTTTGTTCTATAAATGTAACTACTAAAATCATTTCTCTACCTTGGTTTTTTAAACTTTGAATTTTCTGCTGGATTAAGCCTTTAATTATTTTTAAATTACTAGGAAATTCTTGAAAAATTTTCTTGTTATTTTTCTGTATCTACAAAATAGCTTCAGTTCAGTTCAGTTCAGTCGCTCAGTTGTGTCTGACTCTTTGCGATCCCATGAATCACAGCACGCCAGGCCTCCCTGTCCATCACCAACTCTAAAATTTAAGCAACTTAGTCATTATAAAATTAAGTTTTTTCCATGTGTTTTTCAGTGACTTGAAATTAAGATTTCAGTTTTACTTTCATTATCTAGTATAAAATTGAATACAAAAATACACATGATTGATCTTTGGTTTTGTAGGAATTACATGTAGGAGAAAACCAGATTGAAATGTTAGGGGCAGAACATCTTAAGCATCTGAATTCTATCCTTGTGCTAGACCTGCGGGATAACAAGTTAAAATCTGTTCCAGATGAAATTACACTCCTGCAGTCTTTGGAAAGACTTGACCTAAGCAACAATGATATTAGTAGGTAAGTTTAAGAAGGAATGATATGAAGTCATGTCTGTATTTGATTATAATTCATATGTTAAAACATGCAGAGATTTTTTTTTTTATAAGTTGAATTCAATAAATGTTTATTTAGTAGGTGTCATGTGCAGACCTACAAAGGGTAATTAGATTTTGTTCTTGGCAGCAAGCTTAATATACTAATGGAATCAGTTTTATTTACAAGTGACTCCGGAGCTCAGTCAGTAAAGCATCTGCCTGCAATGCGGGAGACCTGGGTTCAATTCCTGGGTTGGGAATTTCCCCTGGAGAAGGTAATGGCAACCCACTCCAGTATTCTTGCATGGAGAATCCCATGGACAGAGGAGCCTGGACAGGCAACAGTACATGGGATTTTAAGAGTCGGACATGACTTAGTGCTATCTTTCTTTCTTTTCTTTCTAAACCACTTGAACATGAACTCTAGGATGGGTAGGTTTTTATCTCTTTTTTTTCACTGCTCTAACTTCTCTGTCAGTTCCTGTGTTCATGGAAGCTGCCTGGTAAATATTTGTTGAATTTGTTAAATGACTCTAAAACCATGGGAAAGATATGAAATACTTTGGTGACTTAAAGAAGATACAGGGGTCACAATTTATTGAAAAAAATCAGGCAGACTTTGTGTAAGAAGTACAATTTTTAGATGATGTTATAGAACTGGTACCAGAGTGAAGCAGGTTAATTGCCTAGAGCACAAAATTTAAAAATGTACTCACTGGGACTTGCCTCACTATAGTCTCACCATGTGATCTTTCAAGGATGACCAGTTTTCAAGTGCATATGTAAGGTGGTCAGAATGACGCACTTGGCAGGAGAAAATTGCACAAACTAAGCTCTGAAAGTTTAGAAAATAAATTATAGGTATATGTTCAGAGGACAGTGAGGAATCAAGTTTAGTAGGGTACATGTAGTGAGGTATTTAGGTCTTGAAAGATAAACTGAGGCTATGTGAAAGAGGTCCTTGAAATCCCTACGAAGAGTCAGTTTTTATTGGTTAAGAAATGGGAGATTAAAAGCCAAACTAACTTGATTGTAACCTTGTAAGTTGATGATAGTGGGTTGAATGCTTTGCATAGGAGTGGGTTTATAGATGGGAATTCTAAATAAGTTCTATTAGATTAATCTAGTAATAATTAACCTGAAAAGGCGCACTTGCTGCGTCCAGTTTACTATGTTGACAGCTTTTTAGATTCCTTTCAAGTAATAAGGACCTAAACTGTAGTGACAATGAGAATGGAAAGACAAGGAAAGATGTGAGAGGTGTGATGAGTTAGTTTGAGTAGTATTTAGCAGTTGATTGTGTTGGAGATGCAGAGGAAGAGGATGTGAGCAAAGAATCATAAAAGTTTATAAAACCATAATATTTAGAGATGGAATTATTTTACAGATATATAAAAAATAAAACTCAGACTTAGTTAGGGTTATAAACCAGTTAGGTGTCTGCAGTTTTGTGTTTGGATGTCAGAAACCTGATTTGCTATGAACAGGCAAACGGTTATGCAAGGTCGACTTTCTTCTTGGTTTATATTTCAGTTACTACTTTAAAAATACTTGGACAGTGACCACTCTTTTCAATCACTTCTATTTATAACATAATTAATAAGCGAGCTGGATATCCCTAAAAGTACTTATAACTAATGAATGAAAGAATTGCTTGCCTCATAAATATTGACATGTACGTTTTTCCCCGTGTTAGTCACTCAGTTGTGTCTGACTCTCTGTAACCTTATGGAGTATAGCCCCCCAGTCTCCTCTGTCCATGGCATTTTTCAGGCAAGAAATACTGGAGTGGGGTGCTATTTCCTTCTCCAGGGGATCTTCCTGACCCAGGAATCAAACCCACATAGCCTGTGTCTTTTGCATTGTAGGCAGATTCTTTACCATCTGAGCCACCAAGGAGTTTCCTTTCTCCCCACAGCAGTTTTATTACGGCTACTGGTAATATGTAAAAACAGTAGAATGGAAATATTTAAAACAAAAATGATGATAAATACTATTTAAGTAATCAGTATAAATATTTCTGATGTGTATATTTCTCTTTCTCCAGAGCTCTGGATATAAAGTGGGTATGTATCACAGGGCCTAGAACATAATGAAACTAGTAAATATTTTCTTTACTTTCATCTAACCTCATACTTCCTAGACATTAAGACCATTCTTTTCATTTCATACCCCTCCAGAATCTAACAAAATTGATTCCTTGTGATGCTACCAGAGTAGTTTTTATAAAATACAAGTTATCAGCTTTTTCTTCAACTAAAAAACGGATGGTTCATCATTGTTATAGCATTTTTTCCTAAATATGGCTATGTATTAGAACCACAAGAGAAGCTTTAAGAAGGAAAATGCAGATACCGAGACAGCAGTGAATCAGAATCTTTAGCAATGGGACCTTAGAATTGCTTTGGTTTTGTTTTTAAAAAGTTCCTGAGAGATTTTGATACATATAGTTTTCTAACCAACAATTAGGAATCACTGTCTTGCAAGATAAAGTCCAGGAGTTTTAGCGTAATAGTCAAGTACATCTCACAGTCAGAATTCATCATTCTTTTTCATCTTTCGGCCCCACAAGTATCTTATGACTACATTGAACTGTAAATATGCTGACTTTTTCTTTCTTCATTTTTTTTACCTTAGAATGCCCTTTTCCTGCTTGACTCCGTAATGGAATTCTGTTCTTTTTAGGTCCAAATCCAGGCTTTGCTACTTCCTTATCCCTTTAGTCCTTTTTCTAATTTCTACTTCCCTAGTCTGAAAGCAGCTTACTTGTTTAGCATGTATTTTATTATATATATATATAAAATAGACAATTTGATGATTTCTGACAACTGTATGTATTGGTGTAATTCACTGTCACAATAATGAACGTTTCTGCTTTCCTAAAGTCTCTATACCCTTTGCAGTCAATCCCCTTTTCATATACCCAACCCCTAGCAAGCACTGATGAGCTCTGTCACTGTAGTTTTCTTTTTTTAAGTATATGAATGAAATCACGGCATATAGTTTTTGTGCCTTCTTTCCTGTAGTGTAACGCTTCTGTGATTCATTCGTGTGATTTTTGTCTCAGTAATTTATTCATTTTTATTGCTGAGTGTTATTCCATTATACAGACATACCACAATTTTTTCATCTCTTCGGTAGTTAGTTGATGGATGTTTGGATTGCTCTCAGTTTTTTACCTGTTATGAACATTCACGTAAGTCTCTAGTTGGACGTAATTTCCATTTTTCCTGAGTAAAATGTTGGAGTGGGATTGCTTAGCTGTATGGTAAATGTGTGTTTAAGAAACTCGCACTTAGCAAAGTGGCTGTGCTATTTTACATGCTCACCATCAACATGTGACAGTTCCTGTATTTTGGTTAGCAACGCATGTGTCCTTCTCTTTCGTTCATCTAACAAGTTTTTAAGGGAAAGGACCTTGATGTCCCTACAGCAATGCATAGTATATGATAGCTGCTTAATAAATTTTGAGATTTAAGGTTTATCTATATCAGCAGGTTTTATCTGGTGTACCAAAAAAAAATGACTTTCTTTTTGAATGAAAAACTGAAGTATATGATTGAAAATTACTCTTTATGATTTTTTCCTTTAGGAATTTTTTTATTTGCTAAAATTTACTTTTTAGCACTGTCTCAGTTCAGTTCAGTTGCTCAGTCATGTCGAGCTCTTTGTAATCCCATGGACTGCGGCATGCCAGGCCTTCCTGTCCATCACCAACTCCCAGAGTTTACTCAAACTCATGTCCATAGAGGTGGTGATACCATCCAACATCTCATCCTCTGTCGTCCCCTTCTCCTGCCTTCAGTCTTTCCCACCATCAGGGTCTTTTCTAATCAGTCAGCTCTTCCCATCAGGCGGGCAAGGTATTGGAGTTTCAGCTTCACCATCAGTCCTTCCATTGAACACTCAGAACTGATATCCTTTAGGATGGACTGGTTAGATCTCCTTGCAGTCTAAGGGACTCTTAAGAGTCTTCTCCAATGCTACAGTTCAAATGCATCAGATCTTCAGCTCTCCGCTTTCTTTATGGTCTAAATCTCACATCCATACATGACTATTGGAAAAACCATAGCTTTGACTAGACAGACCTTTGTTGGCAAAGTAATGTCTCTGCTTTTTAAAGTGCTGTCTAGGTTGGTCATAACTTTTCTTCCAAGGAGTAAGCGTTTTTTAATTTCACGGCTGCAATCACCATCTGCAGTGATTTTATAGCCCCCCAAAATGAAGTCTGTCACTCTTTCCATTGTTTCTCCATCTATTTGCCATGAAGTGATGGAATCAGATGCTATGATCTTAGTTTTCTAAATGTTGAGTTTCAAGCCAACTTTCTCACTCTCATCTTTCATCAAGAGATTCTTTAGTTCTTCGTTTTCTGCCATAAGAGTGGCACTGTCTGCAATTTAGGAAATATTTTATAGCTCACATTCTTTTTCTATTAATCACAACATGACAGTATTAAAACAAATCTTGTTTTTTTTCTTAAACATGTTTGGCATATATCTCGAAAGGAAATATTTTAGGCCTAAATTACTTGGGTTTTCTTTGACACTATTTTATGATGTATAGCTTGTCATATGTTGTTTGTTTTATAATCAACTACTTGGTTGAATTATACTTATCCCTGATGTTTTCCTTGAAATGCATTTAATCTTTTATAGTCTGCCCTGTTCATTGGGAAGACTTCATTTGAAATTCCTGGCACTTGAAGGAAATCCTTTGAGAACCATTCGAAGAGAAATTATAAATGTAAGCATATTTAGAATTCAGCTCTTGTTTTTAAATTTGATATTGAAACATACACATGATCTATTAATATAAAACTGCAATGTATGTCTGGTGAATATGTTTTTATCCCCTTCTTTTCAGAAAGGAACCCAAGAAGTCTTAAAATACCTACGAAGCAAGATTAAAGGTACTCTTCTATTTTCTCCCATATTTTGAAAGATAACATGAAAAGTGGTGAAGTGTTAATTGTATATAAATTTACATGTAGTTTTAGTATAAATATTTAGAGAAAATGGCCCCTGGTAGATGTGGCTCTAATCTGAATCCATGAGACCATAAATATGCTGAAATTATGAAAACACTCTTAAATTCACAGTACTGTTCTGTCCTTAATCTCTGAGTTGTGTTACAGGGTACCAGTTAGAAATTATAATAAAAGATTCTATCAGCACCTAATGCTTTACCTTTGTAAAAGAGCAAAACTTGACTATTATTGTATAAAATAAGGATTCTGTTGACTGGGAAGTATATTAACAGGTTTGAATAATGATATTGAGCATCATGAGCTTATTAGCCATTTGTACATCTTTGGTGAAATATCTTTGTCCAATTTTTAATTTTTTAATTGTTGATGTAATAGTTCTTTATGTATTCTAGGTATAAGTCTCTTGTCAGATACATAATTTGGAAACGTTTTCTAGGCATCTGTGTGTTGTCTTTTCATTTTCTCGAAATGAAGAGCATCCTTCGAAACACAGGTTTTAAAAAAAATTTTAATAGTCATTTTCTTTTTTTGCTAATGCTTTTTGTTTCTTATCTAAAATTTCTTTGCAAAATCCTGTTTTATGAAGATTTTATACTTTTTTTCTTCTAAGAGGTTTATACTTTTGATCTTACATTCATGTCTTTGATCCACTGTGAGTTAATTTTTGTAAATGCTCTGAGATAAGGGTCCACTTTCATTTTTTGCATGTGATTATGCAGTTTCTGTGTACCATTTGTTGAAAAATCAGCTTTTCTCACTGAATGGTCTTTTCGTTTTTTTGTTGAATATCAGTTAACCATGAATGTAGGGTTTATTCCATTGATCTGTATTCCTATCCTGTGCCAGTACAGTACCATACAGTACATTGGTTACCACTGCTTTGTAATAAATTTTGAAATTGGAAGGTGTATAAGTCCTCCTACTTTATTCTTCTTTCAAAATAGTTTGTTTCTCAATCTCATAAACATTTTAGAATCAGCTTGTTAATTTCTACAAAGGAGTAGGTTATCATTCTGATAGAGATTGCTTTGAATCTAGATCCATTTATGGAATATTGCCATCTTGGTTTTTTAATCAAAAAGTCAATAAATGTACTTGTACAAGAAAATATAGTACAACGTAAATCGGTTTCTCACAATAGTCTCCCCCCCCAAGAGACAATTGCCTTCCTTTTACATTCTCTTTGATGCTGATTATTAAAAGTAGCACTTTGGAAAGTCTTGAGAATATTCTACTTTAATATATAATCAGTGTTATAAAAATAACACTGAGTTTTGTTGCTGGTTTAATATTGTCTCTGCAGATGTAAATTTGGCAGTATATATTGCATATTCTTTTAAGTAGCATAACCAAACTGCTAGGGAACTTCTAAATAGTAAAGCATTTCACTTGAAATCAGTGTTGCCCTCTGTGTTGTTCATCTCTATTCTATAGTCTGTCATTTATTATGTTACTTCTGTAAATATTTATATGGATGTATTTGTGTGGAAAAAATAGTTTAATAATTATTGACTAATGAATATCTGATGAGCTTAAGGCAAGAGAAATATACTTAGTATCATTCAACAAGTTTCATTAAATGCCTCCTGGGTTGAGGAAAGATCCGGGGATACTACTAATTTTTTTAACGTTCTTTTGGCAAGTCTCTGTTCTTAGTGTGACTATTACAACTATTCCATCATTTTCACGTTGCTAAAAATTGTCTTATTTTATTTATGTCTAAATGGTGGAAGTCTCTTCCGCCAAAAAATCACAAAGCCATTTCTTTTAATTGTGGATGATTTTTGTTTGTTTTGCTTTTTATATCGTATGGTGACAGTGTTAAAGATCAAACAGTCTCGAGAGGTTGGTGAAGGAGTTGATTGTGTGTAAATGTGAGTAGGTATGCGTGTTAGGAAATATCTATTGAAAATACAGTCTTACATTTGCTAAGAAAGATCTTAGTAAATATAAGTAATGTACGAAAAGCTTACTAGGCTATGCAGATTGCCAGATTTTAAATGATTGGGGATAATCAGCTTCATTGTGTCCTAAACTGTAAAGATAGGCAGTAGCCTATTTGGTAGACATTTTTGGAAAGTAGTACTTTTCCTTTGTTAACAAATTCCTTCATTGGAAGGAATACTATTTTTGCTTGTCATTGTTTCTTCTGAGACATTGTAGTTATTCTTTATCCTTTTCTACTCCTAAATTTTCTTATGGTAAGATTTATTAAAAGATTTTGAACTTTTTATCTTTTTTCTATTAAATAAAGATAAAACTCTATACCTAGATTTGAGTTATTGGAAATAAAGCATATGAAAAGACATTTTCACCAACAGTATCTAAAAATCATGTGTACTATTTTTAAGTATTTTCAGGAATTTTTCAGTGACTTCGTAGTACAAATATTAGTTTTATATAACTTTTCTTTTGCCAGATGATGGACCTAGCCAAAATGATTCTGTTACTGAGACTGCCATGACACTGCCAAGTGAATCTAGAGTCAATGTGCATGCCATCATCACATTAAAAATGTTAGACTATAGGTATGTAATTCATTTTCTTAAATGTTGTAAAACACATAGGTAACTTCCAGAAATAATTTTTCAGAGTTGGTGAAGAAGAATTCATCAGAGTGCATTAGTACTTAGAATAGTAGCAATTGCAAAAAAAAGCGATGAGATAAAAGCATATTAAAAGTACAGTGAACTTAAGCCCATTCCTTAGGTGATTTGTGTTTATTATACTTAAGGAGGTTGATATGTGATTATTAATAGTAAATTTTTTATAATATTTTATAATTGTAAAAAATGAGACGCAATATTGTTTGGTAATAAATTTTCTGATTTAGTATCTAGCATCCAGAGAGAATTTTATATTGGAGGGAGGTCATATATTGGTAACTAAGAAGTGTAAGTATCATTTATTTAATGAATACCTCAAGCAGGCAAAGCTTGAGAGGTTGTACTCTGTTTATATATCTGAATTCAAGCCAAATAGTATGTTTTAATAATGTGCTCTGGTGGCACATATATTAAACCTGAAATAGTTACAATGTTGGTATGTAAACAGAGGCAGAAGCCTAATGATGTTTATATATTATGGGCATGTGTTTGACTGGAGAAAGAGGATACCTATGCAGAAATTGGAAGTGGTTGTCAAGTATTTGTCAGTGATGTCTAAGGCAACAATGATAAAAGCAGCCAGTACAGTCAGAAGTCTTTCAGTGATTAGCTCATGCTTGGGTATTGTAATTAAAGGATACATTCTCAAGTCAGATAGTGACAAGGTTTATTCAGTTATCCACAGAACCATCATCAATTCCTGGCCTCTTTTCCTCAAGGTGTACTATCAGTGGGTACTACCTCCTCAGCAGTCAGGATACAGTCTCCATGTCATGTTTGTTGTGTTTCATTCACATAGAAATCACTACTCTCAGCCTTCCTTCTTTGACACTGTCATACAAGAGAGTACTCATCCCTAGTTGTAGTTGTGTCCTTTTCATCGCATTCTAGTGTAGTAATTTAGCATGTTTTATTTTACACATGATATACCCATTTATTCAGTAGATATTTTTGGAACCTACTAGGTATCAAATTCTATGTTAGGTTTTATAATATACCAAATGTTCAGACAGACTTGATTCCTGTCTTGGAATTTCTTAGCTTAGAATTCCTTTTATCTCTGGCTTCCACTCCCTCTACCCTGCATGGATATGATTTATTGAGTTCATTGAGTTTCTCTTCTATGCTGAACACTGTGCAGCTTTACATATGCTCTTTCTTTTAATCGTTTTAAGCAATCTATTACAGTGGTATTGATACTTTTTTTTTTTTTTTGGTGGGGTTAATCATTCCCATTCTTTAAAGGCACAGATATCACAAAAGCATAATAAAGGTAGCACTTAAGACTATACATCTTAGATTGTTTTGATTCTAAATTTATTGTAATTTGTTTTCCTTGGAGACTTGAATTGGACAGAAGTATTCTATTTAAAGTATAAATTATTTCTCTTAAGGCATAAATGCCTTCAACTGAAGTTTTTAAAATAGCGTAACTCTTCAAACTTTAATTTGAATAAACCAGTTCTCTGTGACTTGAGCAATTCTGATCGAAAAGGTGAAAGTGTTCCATCTGCACAACAGAAAATGGAACCTGAAAGCAAAAGTGGAAGCATACTAATGGTGAAATTTAGGCTTTTTATCTTTCTGTAGTATAGTGCTTTTCTTATACAGTTCTCCAGTATCACACATTATATGTAGCATTGTTTTCTTATTCATACAGTCGTTCATTTTTTGCATTCTTCTAAAGATTCTTTTTTAGTGGAAGAGGTTAGGAAGTAAAAATTATAAAAGAAGAACATAAGCATAATGCCCAATTAGACCATCAGATTGTTAAATTTGCAAATGTCAGAGTTCTACTATACTTTCTTACTAAAATTATATTTTATTGAAAATATAACTGAAAATTTTAATGGAAAAGAAATGTAATGAAATTTAATGAAAAGAAAATGCCTTTAGATTCTAACTTCATAGAACTGAGGTTTAAGGCAGGTAAATTAACAAAGTGTATTAATGGAAGAACCAAAAATAGTTTAGTCAAAGGCCATACTTTGTCACGTGCTAAGTGAGGGAGAAACTGGTTTAGGTTATGAGAAAACTAGTTTAGTACAGTGTTGAACTTTTAAAAATTGATTGTTTTCTGCAGTTAACTCTGTATCCAAAGAAAGTTGACAGCTAAACTCTATTAAGAGATTTTTAAGAAAGAAGGCGAGATAGTTTTTAAAATTAGAGATTTAGCTGTACTCTGCGGTACAGGAATCCCAATTACTATTCCTTTACTGTATGACTCTTGGACATCTTAGACTTTAAAGGTATCTGTTTTTATTCATACTGAGTTTATGACTGTGAGTTTATATCACACCAAAGGTGTTACGACACAATAGGTTGTCTGAATTCCTAACATTTTGTGAGTTGGTAGGTTTTTGTGGTATTCTTTACAGAACTTCATAATAAACTACCTTGAGAAATCTCCTTATGAAATCTTTAAAATGAACAGCACAGATTGCTGTTCATTTCCATTTTGCTAAGAATGATGTCTTCCCAGATTGCTAAGGATGATTCACTTTTTAAAAAAATTATTTGTTTGGTTGCACCACGTTTTAGTTGAGGCTCTCTGGATCTTCAGTCTTAGTTGGGGCATGCAGGATCTAGTTCCCTGACCAGGGCCCACTGCATTGGGAGCATGGAATCTTAGGCACTGGACCACCAGGGAAGTCCCAGAATGATGCATTTTTAAACTATTTTTCATTTAGTGATAAACAGACAGCTTTGATTCCTGATGAAGTGTTTGATGCGGTAAAAAGTAACATTATCACTTCGATTAACTTCAGTAAGAATCAGCTATGTGAAATTCCAAAAAGGTAAGAACTGTTCATGATGCTATTTCTATTAAGCTGTGACTGATTCTCAGTTGTACTTGCATCTTAGTTGCAATAATACTTATTTTTCATAGTTTTTTAATTAGGAAGTATACGTAAAATACCTTAAATTGTTAATATTTGAGGGATTTGGTAAAATTTACTTAAGGATTTCCTGAGATAAGGATTAATAATGTATTGCCTAGATTTTGGGGGGAAGTGCAGGAAGTCCATAATTAGTTTAAATATAAACTGAATGGTTTCTTAAACTTCATACATTTAAAGTCAAATACCCTCAATGGTGAAAAATTGAAAGCATTTCCCCTGAAATCAGGAACAAGACAAGGGTGCCCACTCTCACCACTACTATTCAACATAGTTTTGGAAGTTTTGGCCACAGCAATCAGAGCAGAAAAAGAAGTAAAAGGAATCCAGATAGGAAAAGAAGAAGTGAAACTCTCGCTGTTTGCAGATGACATGATTCTCTATATAGAAAACCCTAAAGACTCTACCAGAAAATTACTAGAGCTAATCAATGAATATAGTGAAGTTGCAGGATTTAAAATTAACACACAGAAATCCCTTGCATTCCTATACACAAACAATGAGAAAACAGAGAAATTAAGGAAACAATACCATTCACCATTGCAACAAAAAGAATAAAATACTTAGGAGTATATCTACCTAAAGAAACAAAAGACCTATACATAGAAAACTATAAAACACTGATGAAAGAAATCAAAGAGGACACAAACAGATGGAGAAATATACCATGTTCATGGATTGGAAGAATCAATATTGTCAAAATGGCTATACTACCCAAAGCAATCTATAGATTCAATGCAATCCCTATCAAGCTACCAACGGTATTTTTCACAGAACTAGAACAAATAACTTCACAATTTATATGGAAATACAAAAAACCTCAAATAGCCAAAGTAATCTTGAGAAAGAAGAATGGAACTGGAGGAATCAACCTGCCTGACTTCAGGCTCTACTACAAAGCCACAGTCATCAAGACAGTATGGTACTGGCACAAAGACAGAAATATAGATCAATGGAACAGAATAGAAAGCCCAGAGATAAATCCACGAACCTATGGACACCTTATCTTCGACAAAGGAGGCAAGGATATACAATGGAAAAAAGACAACCTCTTTAACAAGTGGTGCTGGGAAAACTGGTCAACCACTTGTAAAAGAATGAAACTAGAACACTTTCTAACACCATACACAAAAATAAACTCAAAATGGATTAAAGATCTAAATGTAAGACCAGAAACTATAAAACTCCTAGAGGAGAACATAGGCAAAACACTCTCTGACATAAATCACAGCAGGATCCTCTATGTCCCACTTCCCAGAATATTGGAAATAAAAGCAGAAATAAACAAATGGTTCTAATGAAACTTAAAAGCTTTTGCACAACAAAGGAAACTATAAGCAAGGTGAAAAGACAGCCCTCAGATTGGGAGAAAATAATAGCAAACGAAGCAACAGACAAAGGACTAATCTCAAAAATATACAAGCAACTCCTGCAGCTCAATTCCAGAAAAATAAATGACCCAATCAAAAAATGGGCCAAAGAACTAAACAGACATTTCTCCAAAGAAGACATACAGATGGCTAACAAACACATGAAAAGATGCTCAACATCACTCATTATCAGAAAAATGCAAATCAAAACCACAGTGAGGTACCATTACACGCCAGTCAGGATGGCTGCTATCCAAAAGTCTACAAGCAATAAATGTTGGAGAGGGTATGGAGAAAAGGGAACCCTCTTACACTGTTGGTGGGAATGCAAACTAGTACAGCCACTATGGAGAACAGTGTGGAGATTTCTTAAACAACTGGAAATAGAACTGTCATATGACCCAGCAATCCCACTTCTGGGCATACACACCGAGGAAACCAGATCTGAATGAGACACGTGCACCCCAATGTTCATCGCAGCACTGTTTATAATAGCCAGGACATGGAAGCAACCTAGATGCCCATCAGCAGACGAATGGATGAGGAAGTTGTGGTACATATACACCATGGAATATTACTCAGCCATTAAAAAGAATTCATTTGAATCAGTTCTAATGAGATGGATGAACTGGAGCCCATTATACAGAGTGAAGTAAGCCAGAAAGATAGAGACCAATACAGTATACTAACACATATATATGGAATTTAGAAAGATGGTAACGATAACCCTATATGCAAAACAGAAAAAGAGACACAGATGTACAGAACAGACTTGTGGACTCTGTGGGAGAAGGTGAGGGTGGGATGTTTCGAGAGAACAGCATCGAAATACGTATATTATCTAGGGTGACACAGATCACCAGCCCAGGTTGGGTGCATGAGACAAGTGCTCAGGGCTGGTGCACTGGGAAGACCCAGAGGAATCGGGTGGAGAGGGAGGTGGCAGGGGGAATCGGGATGGGGAATACATATAAGTCCATGGCTGATTCATGTCAATGTGTGACAAGAACCACTACAATATTGTAAAGTAATTAGCTTCCAACTAATAAAAATAAATGGAAAAAATAAAAAATAAAGTCAAATAGAAATTCCTGGACAGATAATATTGCAGCTGTTCTTAAAAATCTATTTTTATCAGTTACACATCCAAACTGACTGTGATTTTCTGTGAGAAAAGTAAAAGTTACAGAAAATCTTAATAAGCAAAAATAACCTAAGCTTTTTTTCTCTATGGTCAGCTTGTAGTTTTAAAGTTCTGACAGTGAATTCAAGTATTAATATTTAAAATTATTATTGTTTCAGGATTGTGGAACTGAAGGAAATGGTTTCTGACGTCAATCTCAGTTTTAATAAGCTTTCCTTTATATCCTTGGAATTATGTACACTTCAAAAATTGACTTTTTTAGATCTCAGGTATTTATTGATACTGTTGCTTCCCTTTTTTAATAATACTTTGTGTTTTACCTGATTTTTGCCCTTTCCCCCTAAGAAACAAAATGGGTCTTTATTAATAACATTTTAGGAGAGATCTAAAAGTAAGCATTTAGGAAATATTTTAATCAGATGTCATTTGAAGTTATGTGATAAGACAATTATTTAAAATATTAGGAAATACTGACACTTTATTAGCTTCATACTTAAAATATCACATGGAAAGTATTTGCTTCATATTGCTTTTTTCTTTTTTAACATAAAACTGTAAACGCTATGCTGGCACAATAGCTAGCTTGAATTATCATAAAAAGAACCTATTTGGTTTCAAAATATATTAACTACTCAAGGCAAGATAAAGAAAAAGAACACTATGATTGACAGCAAAAATAAAGGAAACTATTTAAGGCTCTACAGAGATAATAGGAAGTTTAATTTAAATATGTCCTAAGTTGAAGTGACAGGATCAGAAGTATCACAGGTTTTTGAGGGTGATAATAGGTATTTCAGGGTCAGATAGTCGTTCATTTTCTTAGGCTTTAAAACTTGATTTGTGAAGTATATTTCTATTACCTGGGCTTCTTACTGCTCATGTATGTTGTTACTAGGTGTGGTTTTAGTTTATTAAAATATAACTGCTCTTGCTCCACTCACACAATAGTTAAATTACAATAAGTTAATTATATCTGTTTGAAGATTAGTCTTCACACAGAAGCAAAAATTTTTTCCTTATGCAGTTAAAACAAGTATATAAGCATATATGCTCTTGCTAAATGTGGAATTATTTCTATTTTCCACAGACAATTACACTGGCAAAACAGGTTAAAATCACATTTTAGTTCAGTATTAAATGGAACAGTGAGGATGAATTCCTGCTCCAGTGCTGCTGACTTTATTTCTTTTCATCCCATCCTTGTGTGTGTGTTGTGTGTCTGTCTGTGTGTGTGCCTCTGTCTGTAACTGTACCTGGAAGTTTCTAATTAAGTGACTAAAATATGCTTTTATGTTTGATATCAGTATGTATAAGACTCTAGGAGAAGATAGAGACCTTCAGTTGGTATTCAGCACGAATTAATAAAGACAATAATGGAGAAAAATACAGAGAAAGGAAAAAAGGACATATGTTGAGTTGTAGAAAGTATGGCATATTAATATATTAGGCTTCACTTCTGAATGCAAAGATATAGGTTAGAGGAAATTACTCAGTGTGATAGATAACCATTTAATTGGAGATAATTTTCTCACAAATGTTTTCTATTAGTAGTTTTGGGGCTTCTCTCTGGTAGCTCAGTGGTAGAGAATTCACCTGTGGATTCCACTAATGCAGGAGATGTGCATTCAGTCTCTGGGTTGGGAAGATCCCCTGGAGAAAGAAATGGTAACCCACTCCAGTATTCTCACTTGGAAAACACCATGGACAGAGAAGCGTGGTGAGCTACAGTCCATGGGGTCACAGAAAGAGTCGGACATGACTTAGCAGCCAAACAGCAATGATAGTGGTAGTTGTGTGGCCTCTAGAATACTTCTACCTTCTTGTTAACCTTCTAAATTTTTTCCCAGATCATTTCAGTGGTAAATGAGATTCCCTTTACTTCTGTGTTTTATTGTAAGATCTTGAAAAGTTACACATTGTGCAAGTTAAAATTCTAAACTGAAAGTAGAAATGGTCTTCCTTAATACTTACATAGTAGAAAACTGTAAGTTTCCAAATACACAGAATCGCTTTACATTTCTGTTCCATCTTTTTCATGTAATTTTTCAATTATTCTTCAATTATTCTATATATGAAATATTTGTGTTAATCAAATACTTAGATAACTTGTGATGTCAAATAATGAAGTATTTACAGGCATGACCTAAAGGGCTCTGACTGTGGAAAGTATTGCTGATTGCAGTTTGAAGTAGATAAGGGATTAGTTTACAGTGTTTACTCTGTTAAGTCTATTATTAAAGAGTTGTTTGCATCGCCAGTTGGTTGCACTTTGGTATTAGGATTAGGCCCATTGATCAAATACTTAAAAGCTGCTGACTGATTCAGAATTCTCAGGACACAGTCTTAATGAAATCAAGAATTGACAAACTGAGCTATGTAAATTTTTGTCGGATCAATAATTATAAAGTTGGACAAATTTTCAAATTTTGTAAATCATCTTTTTCTCTCTAATTTAGGAATAATTTTTTAAATTCTTTGCCTGAAGAAATGGAATCATTGACAAGGCTACAAACAATCAACCTTTCCTTTAATAGGTAAGAAACATCTTACTTACAATTATTCTGTAGAAAATTTGTAGATCTTACTGGAGAATACTAGCGATTACTAGAGAATAAAGAGACAAACAAAAAGGCTGTATGTTTTTTCTTCATTTAAATATCCAGGTTTATTGTCATTTAGTTGCACTTAGAGTTAAGAATGATGTTGCCTTTTTAGAATTTTCACAACTGATGTCCACATTTTTTTGTTCTTTTTAACTATTTTAAGAAACCTGTAGCCTAGTAGGAAGACAAATATGCAAATAAATAGTTCTTATTGCTATAGAGGAAGCATAGTACATACATAGGTATTTCCAGAGATTACTTGAAGGTAGAGGAGGTAGCTTTGAAACTGAGGCTTAGAACACACAGGGACAAGTAGCATGTATTAGTGCCCAAGGATGTGAGAAAATGATGTGTTTGGGACCCTTCAAGAAGTTTAATATGGCTCAGACCAAAAAATGAGGTAGCAGAAGAGTAGAAGTAACAAATGAAATTGGGTGTGTAAGCAGTAGCCAGCGCTTTCAGAGCTTTTTATGCTAGTGAAATTTAGATTGTGTTTTGTAAACACTTAAGATTTTATAATAATTAATGAAAGTGAAAGTTGCTCAGTCATGTCTGACTCTTTGCGACCCCATGAATTATATAGTCCGTGGAATTCTCCAGGCCAGAATACTGGAGTGGGTAGCTTTTCCCTTCTCCAGGGGATCTTCCCAACCCAGGGCTTGAACCCAGGTCCCCCACGTTGCAGGGGGATTCTTTACCAGCTGAGCCACAAGGGAAGCCCAGTGTAATAATCAAGAATAACTAATTTTTATTGGGAGTTTATTTATTAGTATTAATTGTCCGCTGACACTGAACTAAGTACTTTACATGTATTACGTCATTTAATCTTCACAAAAGCCCGGCACGGTCGGTTCTATTACTATGTCTATTTAGAAATCGAGGAGTGTGGAGCTGGGATTTGAGCCCAGGTAGTTTGACTCCAGAAGTTGGGCTCTTAACAAGTATGTCATATTGTTTCCTATGATGAAAGTTGATTCTGGTAACAATTTAATATAAATAGTAGTGGCTAACATTTATTATATTTCAGATACTGTCCCATGGCCTTCGTATACATTCATTTAATCCTTGTAACAAGTATATAATTGTGGTACTATTATTCATCCTCATTTACAGATAAGAAATCTAAGGCACAGTGATGTTAAAATACTGCCTATTAATTTTTTTTCTGTCTACTCAATTATTTGTGTTTTCTTGAGTATAGGTTATACCTTTGCTGTCATCATTTAAAAATATAAGCGCTTCTGAGATTCTTCTAGTTTTTATTTGTGAATTGAACTATCAGTTCTCTATTGATATGAACTATCAGTTCTCTATTGAGTTGTCTGTTGAGCTATCAGGGCCTTCCCTGGTAGCTCAGATGTTAAGAATCTGCCTGCAGTGCAGGAGACCCGGGTTCAGTCCCTGGGTTGGGAAGATCCCCTGGAGAAGGAAATGGCAACCCACTCCAGTCTTCTTGCCTGGAGAATCCCATGGACAGTGGAGGCTGGAGGGCTGCAGTGCACAGGGTCACAGAGTCCGACTCGACTGAAGGGACTAAGCATGCACTCACACACTGAGCTATCAATTGCATTGTTAACTAATGTCTTTGGGGAGCTGGCAAAACCTAACCTTAACTTCTATGTTAACTGGTTAGCTGCATCATTTTTAATTACCTTGTTCGCGGTTTGTGGGAGGAGTTGGAGGGACTACTCAAGATAATTTGGTCCATCCGCACTTCTGGTTGTTGACTCTTCCGTCCCTCTAGCCCAGAGCTTCCTTAGTGAGTTCGCCCTTCATTGTAGTTCAGCTGTTTTGAACACCGCGGCAGCAAAAGAAGGGCAGCTGGGGAGGTGAAGAGGCCACCGCTGCACAGCTCTTCTTACCGCGCCCTCCTCTTTTCCAGTTGAGGCGGCAGTTTGCCTCACGTCAAAACCAAGCTAGGCTCTTTTGCCCCCACCCAGAGATCCTGAGGGGTTATGTACTGAGGACTGCTCTGAGAGCCATCAACTTGCCCGTCTCTGTTGTGCCATCTTCAGGGTTACTTTGGATAAGAAGCCAGCAACCTAGAGTTGTTTTATAATGTTTTCAAAAACCAAAATGAATGTATTTTTGATTGTTGGAAAAATGACTGAATCAGTCATTTTTGAAGCCTAAGTCAAAGCAAAGTATAAATCTCTTTTACTTTAAATATTGGCAGAAATTCTGTTTCAAAGAAATAAAAGTAAACTAAGGAAGAATACCTACATGGAGACATTTTATAAAGAGCATTTCAGGAAGATTTCCTTGTCTCCTGAATGAGAAAAGAGAAACATGGGGGAATTTACTCCAAACTTTTGTTTGCTTTTTTTCTATAGTAAATGGAAACTGCTGCAAGTCTGTCCACTTAACATATATTTCAAGGTTTCCAAAGCTTTTCCATTTTTAAGAATTTTCTGAAAAATTTAAGTGTAGAACTTATACCAAATTAAAAAAAAAAAACAAAAAACCCCCCCTCACATTAAGAAAGCTTTATGTCATGAGATCAAACCTCCATCATCTTAGGGGATAATTTTGCCTCTGATTCCTGTTTGTTCTGTTCATATTCTAATAGGTTCAAAATACTACCTGAAGTTCTGTATCGAATTTCCACACTTGAAACAATTTTGATTAGTAATAATCAGGTTGGATCTTTAGACCCTCAGAAAATGCAGACAATGGAAAATCTGATCACACTGGACCTTCAGAATAATGACCTCTTACAGATTCCACCAGAGCTCGGTAACTGTGTGAACTTAAGGTAAACGCACTGTTCTGCTAAGTTTTTTCATTTATTTAGTTTGTGGAAGTGTTTTTGTTTCTTTTTGTTTGTTTGTTTTTTGAGGTACTCTTGCAGGCAAGTTGAAATAAAAAATGTAATGTCCTGTTAAAAATAACAGGTAATAAAACTCTGAATCCCAATTCTGTTTTCCAAATTTTACCAAATGTATTTTTTAGTTTTGTTTATATAGCATGATATATGTATAAATATAGTACACATATATCATACATGTTGATTGTTTTTAGTGATACTTTTCTCATCCCTCTGTAGGTGTATAACCTGAAACTACTGCATAGAAACATCAGGGAAATATCAACTCCTTAGCTGTGCATATAGGGATTTTTAAAATCTGATTATAGACTTCTACCACTTGTTTCAAGCCCTGCATGGTCTTTCTTACTCTGTGTTTCCTATTACCTCAGTCTCAAGTGCCTTTACCCTGCTTCTGTCAGTAATCGACCTAATTATCACATTTGAAAACCTTTCCAAAACTCCAGGCAGAGTTAGTCCCTCTTTAGATTTCCCATCCTGCTTTGTTAGGACTCATTTATACCACTTCTTTGTCCTCCTGTACAAGAGTTATCCCAGTGCCGAGAAAGTGGTAAGCGCCTAATGAGTATACTTGTTAAGTGAATATAAAGGGAATTTGAGACATGAACCAGCAAGCCTAGTAGTTAAACAGAATGTGTCAGAAAAATTTAATTATTGAAAACTGCATATAATGGTTTAACATATTTTACTTTACTAGGGAAGCACTGATATCTTTGGTACCTTATTTACTGAATTATAGAAGGCAAGTGAGTTGATTCTTGTTACGTTCCATAAGTGTATTCTATAAAGTCTCTGTGAAAACCAACTTAGCGAATACTGACCCATTACTCCTTAGGGGAAGCACAGAGTTAGACTCTTTCAAGCTTCTGGTCACATTTTCATCAACCAATCAACACATAATCTTGTGTTATGTGTGTTTCTGTACTAAGATGCCTTATTTAATATTGTTGATTCATTCATATTGAACTGTGGCAAAACAGTGCTATGATTTATGCCTGAATGAGGCTTATCTAACGTGTCTATTTTCTCTGTAAGATACATGACATCCTTCGTGTGCTTAGAAAAACTAGAAATACATCAGCATTATGCTGGCATGCTGTATTAAACAGCAAAATCACCAAGAAAAAGTACAATAGTACACAAAAAAGTCACACTAAATAGACTATGGAAGGAACACTTGTTTACGGTATGAGAGCTGAAACAAGACAGAGCATCACCTGTTTTGATCTCAGTGTCAAGTGACTCAGATTTTTTGCTGCTCTCTGCATGTCCAAAATGATCTTCAAAGTGCCCCATGAATTGATTTGGAGGTGACTAATAAATTTTAGTGAGCAGGCAAATTAGCAAATTTGGAGTCTATGAGAAATGAAGATTGACTATAATTAACTTTTTTCCTATAAATTAAGAAAGTCAGTCTTTAAAAGAATTCCCATGGCACACAGATATGTTTGAAGATATAATTTAGATCTACTGTATAATATGCTGTGAACCCTTTGACTTTTGTTTATATAAACACTTAAGTTACTTAAAATTAAGAAAAAAATCTCTTACAATTTATTTCATTAAATTAAGTAAATCAACCAGCCCTTAGATCTTAAACTGTCATTTCAGAACATTTAAATAGATTTTATTAGTGCGTCTGGTCAAGGGAGGAAGTACGAAGGCAGATGTGTTAACGTTGCTGGTGTGGATAGGATATATTGACTGTGTTATAGTCTTTGATATGAGTATTTGTCAGTTTGCTCATTCTAACACATGTGTAATATAATTCAACCATTTAGCATATGGTCATTATAAGATTGAGGAGGTGATGGGTAAAATAATGATTCATATCACAACTCTTCTATTTAATAACTGTAATCTTGGGCAAGTCTTTATCTTTTTGAACTTGTGTTTCTTGTTTATAAAATCAAAATATTAATGGTGCCTACATCATAGAATTGTCAAGATCATTAAGAGAGTCAGGGAATGTAAGTTACTTAGAACCATACCTTTCATGTAATGAGTATTCAATTAATGTTATTTCAGTCTTATTATAGTTGCAATTCTAACTGTTTAAGTGCTTAGACTGAAAAGGGGCAATTCAAAAAAAAAAACACATATTTTACTTATGAAATAGTAAATGAAATTAGAAGAAATGCCTCCCTAATGGAAAATGTTAAAATTCTGATTTCTCTCTTTTGTTTAGGACATTGCTACTAGATGGTAATCCATTCCGCGTTCCTCGAGCAGCCATATTAATGAAAGGAACAGCTGCTATTTTGGAATATTTGAGAGACCGAATTCCTACTTAAATTGCAGTCATTACATAATCTTAGTCATGTTAATTCTTAGACTTCTTAAATTGCTAACTAACATTTTTCTAAGGTATTATCTTCATTTATGATGGTGTAACCATGTATTGTGTTCATACATTTGTTCTAAATATTTTGCATAAGATTTATGGAAGAAAAAATTAAGTCATTCCCACATAGCAAACAATTTCTTCAAAAGTAAATTTTTATTTATTATAGTTAAATATTTTTATAATGACAAAGCATTTTTGTAGAGATGGATTTTTTTCCCATTTCTACTTGTGTTACGTATATTATGACTGACTTGAATATGATCATCCAATTTCTATCTTTTCTTTAAACTTTTTTTAAAATTTCTTTTAATTAACTATACAATTGAATTGAATTTTATTTAATATTGTTCTTTGGCATTTAAAAAAAATAAGTCTTTTCATTATCCATGATAAGACTTTTGTGTTATGGTTGGTATCAGTATAAGTTTCAAATTAATATTTATTGTCTTGTTTTGTTTTAATATGGTTGAAATGTTTTTTCCTATTCTTTTTACATGTTTCATGAAATCATTTTACCGGCATTTCTAATGTCACAGAAATGGTACACAAGATGTAGTTACTGGTGGAGAAAATAGTAGTTGTTGTTTTAATTGCTCTCACAATTTTGAATTTAAAACTTTATTGGACTTTTTTTTCTAAGATGCTTTAGTACTAAGTTTCCATACAACAACCTAGTATTTCTAGATTCAGCACATTTAAAGAAATTAGATCTGCATATTTTTCCCTCAGAATGTGAGCATTTAAACAATACCTTTTGTTCTTTAAAAAAAAATACTGAAATTTTGTTAATTTTATAGATAACAGCAACAGAAAATAAGAGCATATACCGCATAGAAATCTTGAAATGTATTTTATTTAAATACTAAGCAGGTATTTGTATATATAATTACTCTGTTGATGTGTTCTTATCCTTCCTTTTGCATTTTTTTTTTAAATTTCCAAGGTCTTAATTTTTAAATTTGCTAGTAATGTTAATAAGACTAAATTTGTAGTCACGTGGTAATTTTCTAAAAAGTAATTTGTTATAGGTGAACCAGATTTAATAAAAATTAAATATAAACATTGTATTTACACCAAAAATATCAGAAGTAGGCTAGTCAGTCATTATAAAATGTACTATGTGATTCTATTAAGTAACCAATTGATAGACGGTATTAACTAGTTTATATAAATAGATGGGTGGACAGGTAGGTAAGTAGGTAATAGATGGATGGATAGATAGCTTTTGGGTGATTGAGACATACTCATATTATGAAAAAAGTCATTGCTAATAAAGATAAATACTACATGTTCATTAAAAAGTTACATTTTTCAAATATTGATTACAATGTTTATGTTTTTGGTTTAAAAGAAACATTCCCTTTTCATACAACAACTCTTGCTGCCTAAGAAATCAGCTTCCATATTAAACAAAAGACACTTTACAATAAGGTGACATTTTATTATTTATACAATAAAGAGACTTTTATGTTATTCAAAACACTTTTTTAAATACTGAAAAAGTTGAGTACATCAAAGCCGAAAAATGGCTTTGCTATACACTGCACAGCATTATTATAGTCCCTGTATTTTGTATCTGTACAGAAAGCATCTTCAAAATGCATTCTAATCACACTGTATACCTTTACTGTTTAGTGTCAATTACATAAAATAAAACTGGAGAATACAGCTTGCATTTGCGAATTAACTGACAAAGTAACTTCATTGTTTCAGTAAATTTAAAATATAGATCCATAGGAGTTCTTTGCACATAAAATGAAGCAGCTTTCAAGGTTGTCATGGTCTCATACAGCAAAAAAACCCATTAACTACATTCACAATCTATGTTAATAAAGTAGTAAATATGTCTTCATTCAGTTTTTATTTACATCAATATGTAGTTCAACTAAAAAGTACTGTTGTGATACAGTAGTTTTTTTTTTAACACATACAAAAATGACAATTTTTATATATAATTTAAGCTCAAAATCACAATTATCTCAAAATATTAATTACAACACAGCCATTTCAATTAAACATGTCATGATTTAACTTTTTATAAAATGGTAAAATTTTTTATTAAAGTAAGCAATTTGTTTCGAATTGGCTAGAGTTCATCATGTAGAAAACCTTAAATGGAAAGAGGTGTTTCCAGCCCCTCCCACCCAAATTTGTATACAGCCACCTAAGCTAGCAAAGAGACAGAAAAGGCCCCAATTTATAAAGATTAAGCCTCTTTTGCTATACTGCTGTGGCTTATTGTTTCTTCCATAAAAGCTTTACAAGGGGAGTGTCAATAAACTATGCAGTGAAATGCATGCATTAATATACAATATGTCTATGTAAAATGTTAGCATTTAGTACACATTAAAATATTCACAAAGACTGCAAGAGAAGTCATAAATAAAGAAACACTTCTACGATCTACCAATTGCAAATTGTAAACTTGAAACGTATTTAATAATATAATGGAATTTCTTTGAACACAGATCCCAATTCAAGTTCTTTCTCTGGCTAAAGGAGCGTTAGTTACTTGGCCTTAAGATGTCACTCTTGTGCTGCACATATGGTAGAGAAGTCAGATGTCAAAAAAGAGCATGAGTCTAGAGACTGTCTTCATTTTATTAAAACCGTGGCCCAGTGTTGCATCTCTGCTTAGGATTTAGTTTTTAAACTTACAGAAGAGTGAAATATTTCACTAACTGAATTATATGACCTCAAATGAAAAGTGGAAAATGTGTGTGTGTGTGCATGTGTTTAGCATATGGAAAAATATTAAATAAATAGGTGGAACTAGAACTTCATTATGCAATAATAAAAGGATTATGCCCCAAAATAACTGAGGTCAAAAGAAATCAACTATAAACTATTTTAGGAATGAAGAGAATTTTCATGGATACTTAAAAATCCTAAAAACATAGTATCTACTATCCTTTTAATTCTTAACAAGCCAATTAAAATTTTATCGTCTTTGTTTAGAATTGCTGTTGTTAATTTTAAGATTTCTTCCCTGAACAGAAAGAGACTGTAGTTCATATTATACTTTATTTTTATACAACTGGGTGGGGGCGTGCCCTTAGGTGGTTATAAAGTGGGAAAAATAAAACTACAGTATCTGTAAATCTTACTTTTGCAAGGTTATTTTTGGTGGTCTTTAAAATTTATAAACAGAATTTAGTAGCTTTTTACCTCATTTTCAGCTGGGAAAAAATCCCCCTTTCATACGAAGACAGCGTCATTCTCCTTAAGCTCCCTTTAGTCCCTTCCACACACTGAACAGAGGGAAGCGTGATTGGCTCTTGGGATGAAAATATCTGGTTTATATATCAGCTATTTTTCACATCAATACTAAGGCTCGCATTTTTGAGGAGGAAAATGTAGTTGAGGATGATAACGAGAAATGCCTAAACATCATAAAGCAGTATTAAACATTTATTGCATTCCATTGACACTAGGTGTCATCAAAGGTAAAACCAAATTTTCTAGAGTAAAACATAAAACATTTCTTTCTGCCCTGAACAGATGCCTTTCCACATTCAAGACCATTAAGAGTTCTCTGTGTGGAAAGACTGCAAGTATTGAAAATAAAACTTATTACAGCAGTACATTCTGAAAATACATTACCATAGCTAGTATGGGAACTGCTTTATATTCTATCTGCCTGAGAGTTTCATCTTGGTTTTCCTGTGGACTATTCAAAAATTACATAAGACTTCCTGACTAAATAAGGAAAGGGGAAGAGGGACAGAAAGACACAAAGAAATAGAAGGTGATTTTTTTTTTTTTCCTCCATTCATCAAATACTCTTCCTTAATCTAGCTAATATAGTGGTCAATTGACCTGCATACCTGGGCATTATTTAACTCGTTACTTTACCTGTGCAAAACGAGTGTGCAAAGAAAAACACGTATGTCTGTCTATACAGAGACATAAAACCTGAGTTTCAATTAAAAGTTTCTAATATAAGAAAACTTCTTAATGTAGGAAAATAACTTTTAAAGGGCAAAAAATACCTTTGTACAATATAATCTGCTAACTTTAAAACCAGTGTGCATAAGCATCACATATTTTATAGGAGCCAACAAAAAACAACCATTTACAATTTTCTTAACTATAGCTTAGATACCCATATTTTAATTTCTAATGTCTATTTTCATTCCCCTGAATTCATTAACTTTTCTAAAAGAAAAAAGTTAAAAGCACATTCAGATATGAGGACTGTGATGAACAGTTCCTGCTTTTTTCTAAATATTGAGGACCTAGGAGATTTGGGGTTGCTAGGCATATAACAATGCCAAGCCACAAAGGAATTCTAAAATGCAAAAGAAATATAATCTATTTTTAAAAGAAACTATTTGGAAAAATATTTTGTGGATAGAGTTGGGCCAAAGTGTGCAAGAAGCCATTCTTACCTGCAGGCTCCCTTTCTGCCAATGATTCACTCTTAAAAACTCCTTTCTCTACACTGCATTTCCTTAGCTTTCATTTTATTTCATTTCTTTAGTTTTCCATTCTTGACCCTGATTTGTGCCAACTGAAGCTCCCTGGTTCACATTCAGCCACCAGGGACAATGTCCTCTTCATTTATCTACATCTATTAATCTGTCTTCAGGAGCTCAGGTTTCTGGGATGACTTGCTGGCCCCCTTTCACATACCATTTAACTACATATTGGGGGATACTCTGTTTAAATGACTGCACTTATCATGAGATACTGATTTAAGGCTATTTCAAGACCTACATAATCCCTGGGCTGTAAACATCTCAGAAGCACACTGAGAAAATTTTATAGAAAAGTGAGTGCAGGTTGCTTCTCCACTTTGCCCCCAGATGACATTGTCATTAATTATGCTTTTGTGTCAGTTTAAGTCACTGACATTTAGAAGAGGAAGCCAACTGAACCAAAAGATTTCAGCCCTTGCAACTGTAGTTGGACATAAGGGCCCTTTGAATCCTTGTATTGACAGGT